ATGACCTAGACTGTTGCCCACATGACCTATAGCTAAAACCTGACCTCCATTTGTGTGTCTTGCCTTCAATTCACTATACCCACCAGTACAACAGTAAAATATTAATTTCACTCATTTCACACTGTAAATCTCATATACAAGTGACTGAATATTTTATACTTCTTGGCTGTAGGTTACCAGTTTCTTAATAGCTTCAATAGCATCTTCTAGGTGCTGTATAGATTCCTCATTGAATGCACACTCTTCATTTTTCAGCTGTATTTCTAAATCAAAAACATTTAAAGTTAAAAGCTTGCACTTCCCCCTTAACTTTACAATGATATATGCCTACTGTTACATTATAAAAGTTATTTTAAAAGAGAAGGCTTCATTCCAAAGCTATTTGTAAATTGTTTATTGTCATGGTGCAGCACCTTTTACATTCCTCAAATTAAAGACATCAGAAACTAAGTATAAAGTTTGGGGGAACACAATATGACAGACAAGACTAAATACCACATAAACCCTATTGTACTAAAATAAACCCTATTGAATTAGGCTTAACAAGTTTAGGAGTTCATTGTAGTGAAATGCAACAGTTTATGTATTATTGTGGGACTGTATTGAAATTTTTTAGGAAAAAGACACAATTAATGCAATATTTGAGTGTCCCCTGTGACTTTGGGCTCCAGACAACTTCCCTGTTTGCTACCCCTTAATGCTGGCCCTGGCTTTTATGTGCAGAAAAATAAGTGATGTCACAGTTGGGCCATGGAGTTTTTATAGTATATTGGGAGGGGAGATATCAAAGAAAAAGGTTGAGAACTCCTGTTCTAAGAGTTGAAGCTATTCCCTGGAGAGATTCATATAATTTAGTTCAAACTGGATACTCTGACTCCAGGGACCAATGAGCAAAAAAAGATTTTCGCTTAAATAACTTGGTAATAACCTGATTCTTAACCTTCTTTCTGATTAAGATACTCTGGTCCATAGGGGTGCGTCTAGACTGCAGGGGTTTTTCGGAAAAATGGCCGTTTTTGTGAAAAGGCTTCATTTACGTCCATACTGCTATTGCATTCTTTCGAAATAACTCAGGGGTTTTTCCGACATTGGTAAACCTCATTCTACGAGGAAGAACGTCTTTTCCGAAAGAGCTCTTTCGGAAAAAGGCGTGTGTGAACGCGGAAGAGGGAATTCTTTTGGAAGAAGGGGAAAGAGGAAAAAGCACAGGTGCCTTGGTGGCCACTCCGTCCATAGTAATCACAGCTTAAATGCGAGATAATGTCCACAATGAATGGATGCTATCTTTTGAAAAAGCAGATCGCTTTTTTGATGTGCTTTGGCAGTGTGGACACTCTCTTTCAGAAGAGATTTTCCGAAAAAGCTTCTTTCGAAAGAAGCCTGCAGTCTAGACATGCCCCAGAAGGCCCCAATCCTTAAGGAAAGGTTGGAAAGTGGCCTATTGAGGTTCATAAAACAGGCGGACTAATTCTGAGCAGGAGTGATCGTGAACTTGTGACCATAAAATGGAGGCTGTGTCTTCACAAGGAAAAAAAAGGCATGTTCTTAACTCATAATATTGAGCTCTAAGTAAAACCCTAGGCTCCCCCGTATTCTTTATTTGATCTGCTAACTTGGGTGAAAACTACAAACTGCTTTGTCTTCACTGGACTTTTACCTCAGGTTAGTGGCCTTCATGCCAAGTTCTAACTTATGCCCTGTGTACCCCATGGCTGTCCCAAGGTCTGATTCTGACGAGCTACCACTTTTATGCTAGTGTAACTCCTTTGACTTAAATGGAGTTATTCATGATTCAAGCAGCGGAACTAAGATCAGAAGGGAGGTCTATTCAATATAGTTGACTTGCATGGGGGTAAATCACAGCAGAAATTGGCCCAGCAGTAAGCAGCAATTAGAAACAAATCCTTTCAACACCAACATTCTGTCATCACAATCTCTCTATCATTTGCAGATCAACAGAGCTGTGAGCCACTTTCCCAGAAACATGATAGATATAGGGCATAGTTTGCACAAATAAAAAAATCAATGTCACTAATCACACTGCTGCTTGTCAAGTCTCTTCTTGATTTCTCTTTACCTTTTCCCATTGCTTTAATTCTGTCCTCTGTCGGATTTCCCCTTGATTCCTTTTATCTATTTGCTCTTCTCTCTCTTCCCCATTTTTACTTAAAAAGGTAACACTGTGCCCTATGTGGGCCATTATCAAATAACCTTTCTATTTTGTGTTACCCTCCTCCTCCTTCCTTGGCTATATCTATACTACTTCCTTCTTGCGCAAAAGCCTGTGCAAATAAAGTGTGGATTAGCATACTGCCGCACTTCATTTGCATGATTAATTAGGGCCCGTTTTTGCACAAGACTGTGTAGTCAGCTCCTTTTTACGCAAATCCCCCCTCTTGCACAAGAGCCATTCTGCCTCAGTTTTTCAGGAAGAACGGCTCTTGCGCAAGAGGGGGGGTTTGTGCAAAAAGGAGCCATCTACACAGCTTCTTTTTGCAGAAAAGGCGCGTGCGCAAAAATGGCCCCCAATTAATTATGAAAATGAAGAGCGGCAATATGCTAATCCGTGCTTCATTTCCATAGGCTTTTGCTCAAGAAGGAAGCAGTATAAATGTAGCCATAGTTTCCCCACCCTCTCTCTCCACCTTCCCTGGTGATGGCCTCTCCTTTTATATTCCTCTTCCCCACTCAATTTTGCAAACAAACAGGCTGAGGTAGGTAGCCCACCAGCAGGCCTATAGGCAGCTATGACTTTCAATCCCCCAATTATAGATCAGTCTTTACATTTATAAGAAAAGCTCTTTATAAACAACTGCTTACGCATCCTTGGGGGAAAAAAAGGCAGTAATTATCTGTCTCAGTGCATCTGCCATTTTTCTGGCATGCTTAAGAACATAAGACTGGCCATACTTGGTCAGACCAAAGGTCCATCTAGTCCAGTATCCTGTCTGCCAATAGTAGCAAATACCAGATGCCCCAGAGAGAAAGATCACAACAGGTGATTCTCACGTGATCCCTCCCCTGTCACCCACTTCCAGAGAAACAGAGGCTAGGGACACCATCCTGGCTAATAGCCATTGATAGACCTAACCTCAATGAATCCATCTAGCTCTTTTTTGAACCCTGTTGAAGTTCTAGCCTACACTGCATACTCTGGCAAGGAGTTCCACAGGTTGATTGTACACTGAGTGAAGAAAAACTTCCTTTTGTTTGTTTTAAACCTGCTGCCTATTAATGTCATTTGGTGACCCCTCCTTCTTATATTGTTGGAATAAATACATAACTTTTCCTTACTCACTTTTTCCATACCAGTCATGATTTTGTAGACCTCTATCATATCCCTCCTCTTTTCTAAGCTGAAAAGTCCAACTCTTTTAAATCTCTCTTCATATGGGACCGGTTCCAAACCCCTAATAATTTTTGTTGCCTTTTTCTGAATCTTTTCCACTGCCAGTATATCTTTTTTGAGATGAGGCAACCACATCTGTATGCAGTATTCAAGATGTGGGCATACCATGGTTTTATACAGCGGTAATAAGATATTTTCTGTCTTATTCTCTACCCCTTTTTAAATGACTCCTAACATTCTATTTGCTTTTTTGACTGCCGCTGCACAGAGTGGATGTTTTCAGAGAACTATCCACAATGACTCCAAGATCTTTCTCTTGAGCAGTTGTAGCCAAATTAGTCCCCATCACATTGGCTATATAGTTGGGATTACAGGCAGTTCCCGGGTTACATGGATCCGACTTACATCGGATCCCTACTTACAAACGGGGTGAGGCAACCCCGCACTAGCTGCTTTCCCCCCAGCAGACCAGGGAGACGCGAAGCTAGCGCCCCCCCCCCGCCCCAGCAGACCAGGGAGATGCGGAGCGGCTTTTCTCAGCAGACACCTCAGCTTGAGAATAAAGGACTGAGGGAAGTGAGGTGTGGGAGAATAAAACTGAGCTCTGGAGAAATGTTTGGCTAGAGTTTCCCCTACAATATGTACCAGCTCCGACTTACATACAAATTCAACTTAAGAACAAACCTACAGTCCCTATCTTGTACGTAACCCAGGGACTGCCTGTACTGCTTGTTCTGCTCTTTGGGGGTGATCTTAACATTCAGGGCTATTTGTTAAATGTGTTAGTGGCCACTTACAAGGTGGTAGGTAGTTTGTTTTTTAAGGAGGTAAATCACAACCAATCCTAAACCCAGGCTTAGAAAGGGAACCTGCAAAATGCAAAAAGCACTCTTTATCCACAGGAAGAGCCTGCTGATGACAAGGCAATATATGCAAGTCTCCATTCTTAGACCCCTTCTTTGTTCCTCCTGCCTACACTTTTATCTGGGTGAATCTCAGCTATAATTACAGATCAATTACCATCTTTATGTTGATACATTCAAAACAATTTCTCTCCTCTCTAGACCTGAGTCCATCCAAACCCAAGATCTCAGCCTGTTTTTCTGACATTTCCTTGTGGATGTCCAGCCATCAAATGAAACTTTGCATGAGCTACTCTCTCTCACAACAGAAACCTCCACTTCATCCTTTCTGTTGCTCAAGAACATAAACTTGGCTTCCTCTTTGACATGGCCTTGTCCTTTCACTTGCACATTCAGGCCATGTCTAAAAATTACCATTTCTTTCCTCCACACCATTTCAAAAACTGGCTTTTCCTTAAGCACATAAGAATGGCCATACTAGATCAGGTCAAAGGTCCATCCAGAGGTGAAAGTAACTTTAATCTCATATAGGCACTGTTGTATCACAACCCCTTGGTGGGGTAGGGGCTCAAGGCTGGTGGTTGGGGGGACTGAGATACGACAGTACTTGCAAGAAAATTAAGTGTGGGGAACTCAGGGAAGGGAGCTGTGGGAAGGTTAGGGAAAGGGGTGAGGATATAAGGGAGTGCAGGAGTCAGGGTAGGGGCTTGAGGGTGTGGGGGACTCAGGACAGAGGGATGGGGGAAGGTAGAGTGCAGGAGTCAGGATTAGGGTGCAGCAGCCTGCAGGAAGCCCCAGGAGTCCTGCTGGGAACATGGCACGCCTCCTCCTGTGAGGAAAGGCTGTGGACAGAGGGTTGGGGTATATGTAGGGGGTTGCAAGAGTCAGGTTTGGGAGCATGAGGAGGGACTCAGGGCAGGGGCCAGGGGTATCTGTGGATAGGAGAGAGAGCAGTGGGTGCTATTTAAGGAGAGCAAGAGGACTGAAGCCCCCACAAGATTCATACTAGGATGCTGCTTGCTGTTCCCCTTCATCATTCTTGGGGAGTGAG